TTTTTACAAAAGGTTGTCATCACCGAAATCTTAGTGTATTTTTCTTAACCCAAAACATATTCCATCAAGGAAAAGGCCAGAGAGATATTTCTTTAAACGCTCATTACATAATTCTATTTAAAAATCCTCGTGATCGTGCACAAATTAAGCATTTAACTCGACAAATTTTACCTGAAAATTCAAAGTTTTTAGAGGAAGCATATAATGATGCCACATCTAAACCACATGGGTATTTATTATTCGATTTAAAACAAAGTACACCGGATGTATTCCGATAGAGAACGTCGATTTTCGAAGAAGACGGCGCGTGTGTAGTATATACCCCAAAAAAGGGTATTAAAGGTTTAAATCTTGATAAATTAGGCATTATTAATTTATAATGTCTGCAAAGCTGACTAAACACGCAGAGTTGCTGCGTGCTCTCGCTAAATTGGGGCCTAAGGAGCGTCAAGCCTTAATAAAATGTTTGGATGATGATCAAATTCATTGCATATGTGAATGCATTTACAATACTTTAAAAGGTAAAGCTGAACTGACTGATAATCAGAAACGAAGACTCAGTCGTCATAAGACTATCTTGAGACGTATGGTAAAGCCTCACGAAACAATAAGAAAGAAAAAACAGATCTTGGTGCAAAGCGGAGGAGCGTTCCTGCCATTTATATTAGGACCATTACTTGGTGGTATACTCGGAAGTTTGTTTAAATAATAATAATTATGGAGCACGGAAAGAAAATGTTACTCGTGCCTCAAGAAGTTATACAGCGGCTTAAAGCAAATGAGAATAGGAAAGAAGATGTTTTATCACGGATAGATGATGAAATGATGCAAATCTTAAAGTCGAATTTGTCTGATCATGATAAGTGGCAGCAGTATAATCAAGTTCTACAGAAATATTTACATTTTGCTGACCAGATGCGGAAGCCAGTAAGCATCTCAATTGATTCAAGGCCAGAGGGTATATCGGAGGTTGACATATTAACCACAATACCGCAACTTTTAAGAAGAAAGCCGAAGGATTTTTACGGATGCTCACGGCCTCAAGTAACATCGGCTGGGATAACAAAGGAATTGTCACAATAAAAGGTGAGGTTATTCCTTCGTCGAATATTATCGATCTGGTCCATGATACAATAAGACCGAGGAAGACATCAAACCCCGAAGGTTGGGAGAAGTTTGCGGCTTATGTTAAAGAAATCAATGTACCTCAAGAATTCGTGGGCAACGTGAGAAGACGGAATACCCCGCCTCACCGCACCAGCACGGTAAAACTTAATATAAATCGAGATAGAAGCTTTACCGATTACGATGCCGATTCCGAATTAATTTTACCACAACAACAACCACCCCAAAAACGCCGAAAAAGAACTAAACCTCTCAATATCTCTGAATCTCTGTGGGAAGCATTTGAACTTTAAGGATGGATGTTTAAATCAGAAATTGGTGTCGCCACCTAATAACACATATGCGTATCGTGCATATATTGAAACTTTGCTAAATTATGGTTTGGAAGCCAAAACATCACATCTGGGGTGTTCATTGTGGCACAACGATACACCAAAAAAAAATGGACACATTAACAGCAGATAACGTAGGTTTCACTATACGTCAAGCCGCAGCAGCCGAGAGTAACATGATAGAGATGATTGGACATGTCCATGCCGATTTGTTTAACCAAGAAAAATTTCTCATAAACGGTGTTGAAATGAAAGTTCAATTTGTGAGATCCAGAGATTCGTTTAGCTTAATGGCTGGTGCAGGTGCAACTTATAAAGTAAAAATTGTCGATGCCAATTTGCTGGTACGAAGAATGAAGATAAATCCTACAATTCTTCTCGCTCACACTAAAGCATTAGAAACGTCCGCCGCAAAATATCCTATTACTCGAACCGATGTAAAAGTGTTAACAATACCAACCGGAATACAGCGTAAATCTTTAGATAACGTCTTCCTTGGACAGCTGCCAAAACGTTGCATAATCGGTTTTGTATCCAATAAAGCGTTTAATGGCGATTACGCGTCTAACCCTTTCAATTTCCAAAACTACAAGATTAATTACATGTCCCTGTACATCGACGGACAGCAAATTCCTTCAAAGCCGTTGCAACCTGATTTCACACGGGAAGGATTATACGTACGGGCATATCATACTTTATTTTCGGGGACGGGTATTCATTTTTTGAATGAAGGAAATAACATATCGCGTTTAGATTACCCTCACGGCTACTGTTTAACTTCCTTTGACCTGACACCTGATTTATCCGCTAACGCCACAACACATTGGAATTTAGTTAGGAATGGTTCATTGCGCATCGAAGTTGGATTTCAAGATGCGTTAACTGAAACAGTAAACTGCTTGGTATATGCGGAGTTCGACAATGTCATTGAAATCGATAAACACCGAAATGTTAACGCAGATTTCAACAGTTAAAAGAGAAATCTCAAAATTGCGTACATTGCATAGTCTTACGCACATCAATAAGTTCGAAAAGCAGAAAAATAAATTAAGCTGATATCCTACGTATGATTTCACTAATAATAATAAATAAAAGATCAGTTTATACGAGTCCTTAGCCAGTTTAAATGTTTTCTGCAATGGATGCATACGTCGATATGCAAGGTTTCCGAGGTGCTCTTAATGAGTTTATACCCAAAGAAATTTCGATTGTTTCCTCGGAGGGTCCGAAATGCACGACTCTATTAATAAAACCCCCTCAAAATTATAGTATTACTGCAACTATGAAAAAAGAGATTCGATATTTAGAGGATTATTATCATGGCTTAAAGTGGACCTCCGGTCACAGTCGATATGAAAATTTTGAAGAGGAACTACGTACCCTGCTACAGCCATTTAGCAAGATCTATGTTAAAGGACTAGAGAAGCAGTACATTCTAAATTTCCTAAACAAACCTATAATAAGTGCAGAGGATTGCGGATGCCCTTCTTTAAAGAAGCTGAAGAAAGAATTTGGAGGCATTAGGTGCTTGAATCATAACAGTGAAACTTTAATGTGCTCGCAAGAAAACGCTTTAATGCTATACGAATGGACCCAAATTAGCTCCACCGATGAATTCCCTAGAACTTCAACGAGCCCTGAATCACATACAGGATTCTGTAAGGCCTGGTGTTTTTGCAGCTGATAAATTACCAAAATTTATTCGTCGTCCATATGGACTTATAGTCAATACAGATGTTTCCACCAGACCTGGTCAACATTGGAACGCTATCTACATCGATAAAGATGGAATTGGCGAATTCTTTGATTCCTTCGGAAGGTCTCCATGTGGCCTTCATTTAAAATTTTTGAAAGCCAACTCTAGACGTTTTACATGTAACTATAAAATGTTACAACATCCCCTTTCGACTTTTTGCGGCCAATATTGCTTGATGTACTTAGTTTTTAAAATGAATAATGTTGCCACTAGCGATTTTGTAAACATGTTTAATGATAACTTAAAGTCTAACGACGACATCATCCGTTTATTGTATACTGCTACGTTTTGTAATATAAATTTGTTTACATTTAAGGGTTGATACTAATAAAGACAAGTTAAAATCGTTTAAAGATCGGTTGATTTTTTATAAAAAAGTATCCCTTTTGAGTGAGGTTCATAAATATGGTTTAAAGCATAGCGGTCGACTACGTGACCACGACCCTGGAAAAACTCGAGGTCAAAGTCCAAGACCACGACCTTGGAAAAACTCGAGGTCAAAGTCCAAGACCATGACCTTGGGGAGGTCAAAGTCCAAGACCATGACCTTGGGAAAAACCCAATGCTACGACAAGTTCATAGTCCAAGGCCATGACTTGAGGAAACCCATTGCAATGGCCTCGGGAAATACCCAAATAAGAAATGTACGCTCTAATTTCAGTTAGTATTTGACTACCGACTCATTAACATCACCTAACGTATTGTTACAAGTTTTATTAGCCTCGCATAATCTACTGCAGTTTACGTAATTATACAGTGCTAATCTGTGCATCTCTCTCTTTCTTATGTGTTAGGGTGTGTGTGTGTGTGTGTGTGTGTGGATAAACTTGGAAAAAACAAGGATTTTCAAACAAAAACTAAGAAAAAGTAAGTACACAAATATTTTCTTGTTTTGCTTGCTTCTCGCTTTGCTTTTTCCTCTTCTTCTTCGTTGTAAAATTTGAAATGTATGGATTACCATTTTCTAAGAGTATGTACTTAGATTAGGTTTGTAATACAACATCTCTTATTTTTCTCTACACCTCTCTCTTTTAAATTCGCTAGGAAAATCCCAGAGCACAATTTTAGTCCAACTCAAATCGCAGAATCCAAATCACACAATCTCAACTCAGCATCCAAGACCACGACCTTGCTCCAGAATCCATAATCACAACCCTGCCCCAGGATCCAAGACCATGATCCTGTACCAAAGTCACGATCTTGGGAAAAACCCCAAGACCACGACCTTGGGAAAACCCAAAGCCACGACATTGGGAAAAACCCAAAACCACGACCTTGGGACAACCCAAAGCCATGACCTTGGGAAAAACCCAAGGCCACGACCTTGGGGAAAACCCAAAGCCACGACCTTGGGAAAAACCCAAAGCCACGACCTTGGGAAAAACCCAAGGTCAGGGAAAAACCCAAGGCCACGACCTTGGGAAAAACCCAAGGTCTCCGTGACGTCACAGAAAGTGGTGGGGGGGAGTGTCGGTCTTCTACTATTTGCATTGAACATTTTGAACATATATGAAGAATGAACCTTACTCCATAATATCCCTGGAACGAATGTTTTATAATTCTTACATAAAAATCTAGGTGCCGGGAAAACTACTCCTATATTTGCCCGATACCTTCATATTTATCCTCAACCCGTTTTGTATCGTTTCCTGTGATCCGAATTCATTAATTAATTCATGCCATGCAAGTGCAGCTTGATTGTGTACGTAATTCATCACTAATCATGAACTGATTGATGTAATTATTCAAATTCTATAAATAACGATCAGATACGAATATCACCACTGTTTTATGTAAGACAGTTCTTTGTACTAATTGAACACAACATCCATTAGTCATTAATTCATCTAATTTATTATTTGTTCAAATACGTTTTTGGAACTAGACGCGCTTACTCAACATGTTCAGTTTCTTGCTAGTTGTTCTGTACGCAAGAGGTAAGTATAATTCTTACTAGGTATTCACAAATACATTCCTTCTACTTTTGCAAGGATTTGTAGCTGAAAATGGGCCATTTGTCCTGACTTCTTTAGGTCCAATAAGAGGATTCTATAAGTCATCATTTCATGGTCGTAAATTTTCGGCATTTGAGGGAATTCCATATGCAAAACCCCCGGTCGGCGATTTACGATTTGAGGTCAGTTTTTGGTACATCCATACAATGTAAAATGTCTCTTTAATAAACAGCCGCCTCAAAATGCGTCGCCTTGGAATGGTGTATTAAACGCTAATAAACAGTACATCTGCATGCAATTGGAAAACGCAATGATTACCGATGATGCTACCATAGGTAGGGGTCTACATTTTTTTGATTTTTTCTATTATCTGGTTACAGGCACCGAGGATTGTCTGTACTTAAATGTTTACGTACCTAAAACACAAATTTCGACCGATGACAATTATGATGTAATAGTTAATATTCATGGAGGAGCGTTTATGTTTGGATCCAGTACATCATACGCAGGTCCCTGTCCGTTAATGGACCGCGAAATAATTTATGTGAACATAAATTATCGCGTAGGTATTCTAGGTATGTTTTGAATCTACCCCCTGTTCAGCAGTAACACTATAACGTACTTCAGGGTTTTTAAGCACAGAAGATAATGTCGTACCTGGAAACAATGGATTGAAGGACCAGCAACAAGCCCTTAAATGGGTACAAACGCATATAAAGCAATTTGGTGGTAATCCAAAATCAGTAACTCTCATGGGGGCGTCAGCTGGTGGAGCTGCGGTCCATTTGCATTATTTCTCCCCGAAATCTAAAGGTTTGTTCCATAGAGGTATATCTCAAAGTGGAACTGCCCTAATGTCGTGGGCCATTCAGGACGGTGCCGCGCAGAAAGCAAGAAAGCTGGCAACGATTTTGAACTGCGAAGATTCGAATACACAAACTTTCATTAAGTGCCTGAAAGGCGTACCTGCAGATAAACTCGTGAAACAAACGAAATTGTTTTACCAGGTTGCGCGATTGCCAGTTTCGCCCTTTGCGCCCGTTGTAGAAGTAGAGTCGGAGTCATCTTTTCTAACAAAACATCCGTACAAGCAGCTGGAAGACAGTGAGGTGAACGATATCCCTTGGTTGACATGGGTTACAAAGGACGAAGGAAATTTAGTATCTATTAGTAATGTGCAGCTTATTAGTATCATATTAAAAATGCTAATTTATAGTTCTGAACAAAAATCTAAATGAAGTGGAAACACACTGGGCAGCATGGGCTGAACATTTATTTGATTATGAATACGTTTGCTTGGAAACGAAAAAGCATGACGTGTCTGAACGGATTAAATCGTTTTATTTTCAAAATGAACAAATGCCTAAACGTTACACCAGTTTATTGCTTAAGGTAGGTACTAATTCTACAGCAAAATTATCCATGCTAAATTATTTTTAGAGCTTTGGCGATAGATTAATTAATGTCGGCTTTGAAACTGCAGTTCAAATGCAGGTGAAAGTTACAAATTCATCCGTATATGCAGCCATTTACGGTTACAATGCGGGTGTTACTCTCAGTACAATTTTTGGAGTGGGCTTGGAAGGCAGGCATATCATTAGATTCAAAAACTAATAACCAATCAAAACATTCGTAGGGACCACGCATGGTGACGACACATTGCTTTTACATGGCATAGACGCAATTCAATCAATGTTTCCACACATACAATTTTCCAAAAACGACGTTTTAATGAAGGATACGTTACTTGACCTTCTTACATCATTTGTAATCAACGGGTGAGTCCACAGCTAGGATAATTCCAGTCACTAAGTAGACACTTTCAGCAAACCACACTGCAGGGGAGTGGAGTGGAAGCCGTTAACCTCTAAGAGTTACCAATATTTACTCATTAACAATAGCGATAATATTAGTATGTCGGAAATACCCGAATTAAGCCCAAAGGGATTTTGGGAGGCTTTGAATTTACGGGAAAATAAACTATTTTCGGAAAAACTACCAACTTTGTAGTGGACATTGTGCTTACAGTTGAATAAGTTCTTTTCTTAGTCACAGACAAGTTATTCGTCAATAAATGTATTGATATAAATAGCAGTAGCAGTACAATTTAAGACTGATTCAGTTTTCTGATATCTTTAGGATTACTCTAGTACTGGACGCCGTCAAAGTCGCTACCCAGTACAGGGGATTATGATGTCCGGCGCATAAACAAGCAATAGCTCGATTTCGTACTTCCTGGGTAGCAAACATAAATCCAATCAATTCAGTGGTACCTTTAAGGAAGCGTTTCTCAAACTTTTTTTTAACACGCCGGAGCCCCTATTAAGTGGAATCTAAGATGACGAAGGCCCCAGGAATTCCATAAGGATGATCTGCAGCCTTGAGATTGTGGTTGAGTGAGGCGTATTCGACCCTCCATTATAGAGGGGGCCCGGGGGTCCTCCCCCAATGAAATTTTGAAAAATTCAAATCCAAATACTCAGTATCGCAGTCCCACAAATGCGGCCCTTTTTTATAAATGCAGAAAAACCGCCATTAGAAGCCCCAGGCGTTTGTTCGTCTGGTACCTCGGACCTAGCTATCGGCCCATTTTAGGTATTTCTTTGTACAACTTTTGAGAAACAAGAATAATAATTGACGACGCACTATCATACATAATAAATAAATCTAAATAGCATTATGCGGGTCACTCTGTAATTGGGCGCATGCCTGTTGACGGCCCAAAACTAAGAGAGGGATAATAAATAAATAAATAAATAATTCGCTCGTAAAACAAGTACACTTTGAGAAACGCTTTATGGAAATTGATAACCAGGATATAAGCAAACACCAGTACCATTTACTAGGATTGATTAAATATACGTTCAGTTTTCTGATACCTTCAGGATTACACTAGTACTGTACTAGTACCTTCTTACCACAAAACTAGAAATAAGTACAAAAACTTATGTAGTTCAAAGAAAAAAAGTTTTTATGAAGATGCAATTGCAAAATTTAGTCGGGTAAGGGATGCGAAAGATTTTTGGGGCTTAGTGCGCCAGTTCAAGAACACAAGGTATAACTTTCACAAGGATATTAACGCGGCGGAATGGAATACCCACTTTAAAAACTTACTAAACCCATCCTTAACTGCAAGACGAATAGCCCACGCCGAGCCGCTCATTAAGAACGTTTTATTGGATGCACCTTTCCAAATGAATGAGCTATTAGCGGTGTTGAAAAGAGCCAAAGACAATAAAGCTCCAGGAAAAGATAGAATCCCATATGAGTTCTACAAAAATAGTTCAGTGACGTTTTTAGAAACTTTACTTAAATGTTTTAATGAAATTTATGTATCTGGAATCATACCGAACAACTTTAAAGAATCGATCATATTCCCAATTCACAAAAAAGGAGCGAAGAATGATCCAAATAACTATAGGGGAATCTCATTCGGAAACACAGGGAGTAAATTATTTGCTGGTTTATTGCTGGACAGAATTACGTCGTGGACGAATCGGGAAAGCATACTAAAAGAATTCCAAGCGGGATTTAGGAAATCTTACTCTACGATTGACAACATCTTTACTTTGATGAGTATAATCAAGATCCATTTAAGCAGGAAAAGGCAAAAAGTGTTTGCTTTTTTCGTTGACCTATCCGCTGCTTTCGATAGGATAGACAGATTCGCATTATTTTACAAGCTCATGAATCTGGGCATGTCCAGTAAAATAATCACGGTTATTAGAAATATGTACAGAAATACTTCAGCGTCAGTCTGGTGTCAGGGAGGTTTAACCAAGGCTTTTGAAACAGCTATGGGTGTAAAACAGGGGTGTTTATTGAGTCCCTTACTTTTTTCACTGTTCATAAACGATATTGATGATTATTTGAATTATTTATTAATTATCAGAATAAATTCCACCACAATCAAACTACTAGCGTATGCAGACGATCTGGTACTTTTGGCATCGGACAAGTATAACTTACAGAAAATGATCAATGAACTAGATAGATATTGCAACATGTGGAATCTGAAAATAAACCTTTCGAAATCAAAAATTGTGGTGTTCCGGAACGGCGGGCGACGAAGCGAAGAGGACAAATGGTTTTATAAATCCGAACAAATACAGGTGGTCAACAGTTATAAGTATCTGGGAATTACGCTTACCTCAAAATTGTCTTTGGAAGATCACTTTAAAGAGAAAGTAGAAAGTGTAAAATTTGCTATAAATTCGTTTAACCAATTAATTTTGGACAACAAAATTCCTCTTCAATCAAAATTGGACATCTTCAATGCTGCATGTCGGTCAATTGTGTGCTACGCATCACAGGTATGGGGCTTCCTCAATCATAGAACAGTAGAGATACCGCTTAAATTCTTCGTAAAGAAATGCCTGAGGCTACCTAGGAATACGCCAGACTACATGATTTATTTGGAAACCGATCTTTACCCCACGTATTTGTACACGCTCCATCTTCATTTCAACTATATTAGAAGATGCCTAAAATTACCAGGTACGCGTTATCCCAACATTCTGGCGAAGGAGATCATTAAAATGAAATTATTTTGGTACGCTGATTGGAACATCCTATGTGTTAAATATGGCTTCAACACCATTGATCTTATAAGTGGGAGTATGGAGGCAAGTGTAATATTAAGTGCGCTGAAAGACGATGTTAAAGAACAATATAGACTAAAAGCGGTTAATAGTATCAGACATCCCCTATACAAAGAACTGGATCAACTTAACAAATATGTTTACTCTAATCTTGTTGGCAATTATATTAGCTGGATTTTTAAAGTCAGGGGGGAATTGATATATCTAAATAAATACAATTACGAACAAATAAAATTATGCTCACTATGTAATTTTCAGGAAGATGAAGACATATTTCACTTTGTTGGGGTTTGTCCAATATTGAAAACAATTCGTAAAAAATACCTACATAAAAATGTGCTGACACTTGTTGAGTTCAAAGAGTATTTAAACGGTAAAGACTGGATAGCACTCGCAACTTATTGTACATTTGCATGGAAGTACAGATATTCTTTTGTTCAGGAATTTAACTTCTAATTTCACGTTTATAAGAGTTGTGCTTCTTTTTCTTTTTTTAAATTTCTTTTTCATAAAATGAATAAGGCAACAACCCCTCAGGCGGTCATAATGATGACCATGAGTATGTCTCTTACATTAACTTTCATTTCTATTATAAAATATACTTATGTTGTAGTTTATATTAATAAAGACTGTTATTATTATTATTATTATTATTACTAGTACCTTCTAAAATTGTACTTCTTAGGTAAATGCGTTAATACAATTAGTTGTGTGATAACTTATTATACATTATAACATATACTAACATATATTAATCAATTATTTGAGTATACAGGGTGTCAAAACGAAAATTCAACCCTCCTTATCTGGAAAATCAAGCATTTTTATTGGAGGATTTCCAAAACAGTTCAAATTTGTTTTTGAAGGGCAATACACTCCGAAACTCCACCCCTTTGGATGTTTCAGCAACCTCCTCAAGAATTTTAGATGACCTGTGGGGTGCCGGATCGCGGTTGTGCTTATAACAACACAGGGAGAGGTACAACATAGGGAAAATGTACTTATTACAAAAAAATATGCTTGAATAGAGAATAAAAATTCATTTAATTTGATGTGGCCCTCTCCTCTTAAGGGGAATGTTGTGATACTCACAGGGGTGGAGTTTCGGTGTGTAATGTATAAATTCTTTTCCCCTCAGAAACAAATTTGAGCTGTTTTGGAAATTATCCAGATAAGGAAGGTCGAATTCTACGCACCCAAATTAATAAGAAAAAGTGTTTTCCCGAGAAATTTTGGTGTAGTCAATTTTTGGTAAAAAAAAGGTTATACACTGCCTTTTTTTGAGCCCCGAAAAAAAATTGTCTCAGATCGATCCGGAAAAACAAATTTTCTTATAGAATGTGGCCTGTAGAATCCATAATTTCAAACAGTTCCAAGATTGGGCTACTAGCTCAAAAGTTACAGCCCTTTGAATTTTATTTTGAAATTGGTTTCCAGTCTATAACTTTTGATTGAGAAATCTGATCGAGAAAGTACGAATTGTTTTGGATTCTTCGCACAATAATTAATAAGAAAAAGTGTTTTCCCGAGAAACTTTGGTGTAGTCGATTTTTGGTAAAAAAGGAAGGTTATACACTGCCTTTTTTGGGTCCCGAAGAAAAAATTGCCTCAGATCGACCGGAAAAAAAATTTTCGTATAGAATGAGCCCTGTAGAATCCATAATTTCAAACAGTTTGAAGATTGGGCTACTAGTTCAAAAGTTAGAGCCCTTTGAATTTTCTTTCGAATTGGTTTCTAGTCTATAACTCTTGATTGAGAAGTCTAATCGAAAAAGTACGAATTGTTTTGGATTCTACGCCCCAAAATTAATAAGATAAAGTGTTTTCTCGAGAAATTTTGGTGTAGTCGATTTTTGGTAAAAAAGGAAGGTTATACACTGCCTTTTTTGGGTCCCGAAGAAAAAATTGTCTCAGATCGACCGGGAAAAAAATTTTCGTATAGAATGAGCCCTGTAGAATCCATAATTTCAAACAGTTTGAAGATTGGGCTACTAGTTCAAAAGTTAGAGCCCTTTGAATTTTCTTTCGAATTGGTTTCTAGTCTATAACTTTTGATTGAGAAGTCTAATCGAAAAAGTACGAATGGGGTCATCCCGCCTTCATTTTTTATTTCTGATCCACAAAGTACAGTAAAAATAAAAAGACCCGTGTGACCTCAATTTTTATTTGCGAGTCAAATAAACCCAAAATAAATTATTGAAAAGCTGTGTTTTTAGTCCGAATTTGAAACGCTTCAGACTAAATACGTCACAAACCTACAACCAATCACGTAGAAGTGAGCTGGCAACCTTACGCGAGGGTCTGACGTTTGTCACATTTGACGTTTTGAGAGGGATGTTTAACTGCATCTAGCACGAAAGTGACAAGTGCCTGTGACAGATGACGCAAGTTATAAATGCCATTCTCCTGCAATATTGCCAAGTCGTTATGTCATCTGAATGGTTCTAGGAGCTGATTGGTCGGGCTTATTACGTCACAGAGCCCGCCACAACCATATCGTTTTGAATAAACCTTTAAAACCGCAC